CGCAGCGCCAAGGACACGGCGTTTTCGCCACGGGAGGAGTTCAGCATCCTGGTGGGTGACAGTTCAACCCCTGCACACACACCGAGACACGCATCGAGACCAAGCTCCGGCACCGGCCCCACTTTTCCTTTCTATCCTCCCACCCGCCAACCTCACTCGGTTACAGAGCTGTTTCGTGGCATGGGAGGGCCTCCGCAGCGGCCGCTACTGGAGCTTCTCTCTGCTGGACTCGGGGGGGTCGCTGCTGGTGCGGCTGGCCGCCCTCAACCGAGACAGCGCGGAGAGGTGGCTGGCGGCGCTGGAGGCGGTGGGCTGTGTGCGGGATGACTCGCTGGCGCCGCCGGGTGGACCCAAGGTGGGAGCTGGGAGGGCGGGGGCGGGACGGCGGGAGGGCGGGAGCAAGGGGCTATGTGGCGGTTGAAGGGGGAAGGGTGCAGGAGGACGTCGACGGTTGTTTGTGTGAATTTTGCCTTTGTGACCTTCCTGTATTTGGTTATCTACCGACGATTTGCTCTCGTATGTAGGGGTGTGTGTGTGTGTGTGAAGTAGGGGGGTATAGCTTCACCCGTGGGGGCACCCGCCTGGCAGTCCCTTCTGTGTTCCTCGATGCTCCGGGGCACCACCCTCATCATCCTTCTCATCACCCATGTGTGCCGAATTTTGCAAAGTCAGTGACTTTTTTCGGGTGCAGCACCCGCCACCGCCACCAGCAAGCATCCAGTGGAATCTGCCCCCAGATAAACGGCGGGCCCCCCAACTGCACTCTCCTGGTCAGCTCGCAGGTCTCTCACCATAACCAGGTCCATCCTGGTGCCCATCGGCACATGGGGGGGTGCAACCACCCTCTCACTGCCGAGGAATGTTTATCCCGCTCCTTGTCGGGATCGATCCTGGAACATTCCAGGGGCACTGTGTCGCTCCGTAACATGATCACCATGTCTGGAGCCGCTGTACAACAGGTTGATGACGTTTTACATGGACGGTTGAATGATTTGATGAGTCATGTCAAAGCGGATTTGAAAAGGTTGTCAGCAGCACATGCAGGGATGCATTGCTCCTCACACTGTGGGGGGCCATGTGTCCAAACCCTTCTCACACGGCCCTCATCCCCGATGATGCCTTTCCACACCGACCCAGGGGTCAGTGGAGGCGGCTCGTGGCCGCAGGAGTGAGGACGTGCTGAGCCTGGTGCGCAGTCAGTCAGCGCCCTCACCACTACCCCTGATAGCGCCGCTGCCCCGGCGCAGCAGCGCCAGCGGCACGGCACTGCTTCAGCGAGGGACAGGGGGCCCGGCGGCGGTGACGACGACGGGCCGTATGAATGGGGCAGTTTCGGAGCCGTCGGCTGCCGCGGTGGCGGTGGCGGCCAACGGGTCGCAGCCGTTGGTCGGTGCTGGTGGCGGCGCATCATCTAAGAAACCATCTGGCAAGGTGACTTACTGACAGACAGACCGATTCCTACACTGCACTGTTTGCATGAATGACATGAGACATCTCGCCGAGTCGTTGCTCTGGGAAATCCACGCAGTGTGAGACGCAACGCTGTTGCTTTTCCCAGGCGGCTGCGCCCCCCTGATCTTGGACCTACTCCTGCTGCTGTTTCGAACAGTGTTACTGATGCCGCACAACATGGTGACGTTTCCTCGTCGACTCGATGTTCTCCCGTCCTCCTGTCCTCCTTTCGCAACCCGCATTCCCGCCCTCCGTGCGCTGCTGGCCGGGGCTGCCTGCGTGGTTTCATATTTCTGCTGCCGTCATAGCAGCAACAACAGCAGGGTCGCGGTCCCCAGCAATCCAAGTCATCCGCCCCACGCCAGGATACAGCGGCGGCGGCGGCGGCGGCGGCGGAGTCTGCCGGAGCCAGTACGGCGCTGCCGCAGCCGCCCCAAAACCGTGACGGATCCTTAACGTCAGCGGCAGCGGGGACTGGCGGGAGCGCATCTGTACGACCGATAAGCAACGGCCACGGTACGTGCACTGTACGGCAGGGGACATTGGGTGGAAAACGGGCCGGGCTGGAGATGCGAATCCGAATTTACGGCGGGGCAAGGTGTCTGTAGGCCGGGGGGAGGTGATTTAGGGACATCGCCGCCGCCACCGCCGCCGCCGCCGGCAGCAGCGGTGACCACGACGACGACGACCATGGTGATGATGATGTCGGCAATCGGGGTTCTCCCCCCTTCTCGCTGAACCGGCTCCAGCCTCGGTGGTTGCATGTATGGGTCAGGTGGGTTACTGGAGCCCGGTGGCACCGCGGGACTCGGGGCGGAGGTGAAGAGCCACTCCCGCGTGCCACACGCTCACCCGTGTCTACTGCAGCTGAAAGAAGCTGAACGCCCTGTCGTACACTTGCCGTACAGCTTCATCCGCCGCTGAAGGTGGCACCGGCACTGCAGTCGTCACAACCCACGCGCCCGCAGAGGCGACGGCTGATGCGGGGGCGGCGGCCACATCACCGTCGTCTGGACAGCAGCCCCATCACCACCAACACCAACAGCAGCAGCAGCAGCAGCAGCAGGCCCCCTCCCGACGCTCTCTGGGCGGTCGGCCCGGCGGGGGGGGCCCTGAGAGGGGCCCTATGCTGGGGTCCACACCCGTACATACGGCTTGCCGCTTCAGTCTGCTGTCTTCGGAGCGAGCCTGGTACGAGAAACACACCGGGCTGTACAACTTGGCCCTCATTATTCTGGTACTGACTAATTTCAGGTACGGCGGTTTGTGAGAGACACGTGACGTATACGAGCGCGTGGGACGAGAGCGTGAGACTGGACGAGCTTCTGAGCTGGGTTGACCTAGCTGCGGCTAGGATTGGTTCGCGGGTTGCTGCTGCTGCTGTTGCTACTGCTGTTGCTACTGCTGCTGCTACTGCTGTTGCTACTGCTGTTGCTACTGCTGCTACTGCTGTTGCTACTGCTGTTGCTACTGCTGCTACTGCTGCTACTGCTGTTGCTACTGCTGTTGCTACTGCTGTTGCTACTGCTGTTGCTACTGCTGTTGCTACTGCTGCTACTGCTGCTGTTGCTGCGGCTGTTGCTACTGCTGTTGCTACTGCTGTTGCTACTGCTGTTGCTGTCTTTTCCTGGTCCGCTGTCTTCTGCGTGAACATGTCCATCCATCCGTGGTATCTATCACAGACGCAAGCGGGTGCGTTTCCGTAACTGATCTTTTGTAGACAACATGAAAAATGTATCGACCATTCCCGAACTCCACAACTGGAAGAAGCCGGGATAGAACGGGGGACTGAAGGCTGAGGAAGCAGTCGTGTTCATGCCCGTGTCAACTGCCCCCGAGAATTGCAATGTCGCTGTCGCTGACATGTCACTAGGTGCCCTGCGCACCTCACCTGCCTGCCCCGTGCACCCCGGCTTCGGCCGTGAGCAGTTGATTCCATAGCTGCCCTCCCCTCCCCCCCGACCCTTTCCGGGGGAAACTCACCCTCTCGCCCCGCCCATCCGCCACATCCTACCATGGTACACGCGTGCCGTACACCCTCGACCCAGGCTGGCCCTGGAGAACGCGCTCAAGTACGGCTTCCGACTCAACCCTGTACGAGTGGTGGGCGACCTGATGGCGGGCCGGGCCGGCGGCGGCGGTGGTGGTCTCGTGAACGTGCCCCTGGTGCTGTGCTACCCGGTGTTGCTGGTGGCGGGGCTGCTGTCCCTGGGCTCCGAGTTGGCGGGCTACGCGCTGCTGCAACATGAGTTCAAGGTGGGGGAAGGGTGGGGGGAAG